ACGTACTGCTGAGAAGAATGTGTATTCTGTTGTTGTTGTGTGGAATAATCTGTAAATGTCTATTAAGTACATTTGTTCACAAGTGCAATTCAGTTCTTTTATTTCTTTGCTGATTTTCTGTCTGGTTGATCTGTCCATTGGTGTCAGTGGTGTGTTAAGGTCCCCTGTTAGAATTGTGTTACTGCTGATTTGGTTTTTCATTTCTGTCAGTACTTGTTTTATATAACTGGGTGCTCTGGAATTTGGTGCATATATATTTAAGATAGTTATCTCTTCCTCTTGGAGTTTTCCCCTAACCAGTATGTAGTGACCTTCTTTATCCCTTCTGATCATTATTGGCTTGAAGTTCACATTGTCTGCAAACAGAATAGCCACCCCTGCTTTTTTTTTTTTTTTTTTTTTTTTTTGGTTCCTGTTGCATGAAGTATTGTTTTCCATCCTTTGACTTTCAGTCTGTGGGTATCCTTTTGGGTTAGATGGGTTTCTTTTAGACAGCATATGGTTGGATTTTGTTTCTTGATCCATTCTGCCAGTCTCTTTTAATTGGTGCATTGAGTATATTTACATTAATGGTTATAACTGTTATACATTGGTTTATTGTTGATATGTTATCTTTCTGCTGTTGCATCTTTGTCTTTCGGTTCTGTTTAATTGTCTGCTTTGTTTAGTGGTTTTTTCCTAGATGCATCTAGGCTGTCTTTCAGTATTCTTTGCAGGGTTGGCTTGGTGATCATGTAGTTTTTCAGCTGTTCTTTGTCATGGAAGTATCTTATTTCTCCATCCATTTTGAAGGACAGTTTTGCAGGATACATCAGCCTAGGTTGGAAATCATTTTCCTTTAGGATCTGAAATACTTCACTCCATGCTCTTCTTGACTTTATTGTTTGTGCTGAGAAGTCTACTGTGATTCTGATAGGTTTTCCTTTATAAGTGATCTGTATTTTCTCTCTTACAGCTTTTAATATTCTATTCTTTTGTTCGATTTCTGGGATGGCCATTACTATGTCTCTGGGTGTAGTTTTATTTTAGTTATGGCTATTTGAAGTTCTATATGCTTCACTGATCTTAATATCAGTTTCCAGTCTCATGTTTGGGAAATTTTCAATGATTACTTCTCTAAATATTCTGTTGACATCCTTTATGTTGTTCCCTTCTTTTTCATTTATCCCTATTAATCTTATGTTGTTCCTTTTTGCGACATCTTGCAGGTGTTGAATTGTTATTTCCTGATTTCTTGTTATTTTTAAAAGATCTTTCCTTTCCTCTTCACTGGCTGCAATCTTGTCTTCAAGGTCTGAAATTCTATCTTCACATTCATTGAGGTGGTTTTTACAACTTTTGATGGAGTTTTTGATTTCCTGCATATCTCTTTGCATCTGCTTTATATATTCTGTTTGTTTTTTATATTGTTCATCTAGGGATTCTTTTTTTTTTTCTATCTCCTTAAGTTTTCTTAACTGTGTCTTCTTTAGATATGTTCAGCATCCCCTTCATTTCTTTTATCATTTCTTCTTTTACCTGAGAGAATATTACTAGTTTGATTTCCTTTAAGGCTTCCCAGAGTTGCTTCTTTATTTCAGTTACTATTATTTCAGGTATGTGGCATATGTTTTCTTCTATGCACATGGCTCCTAGGCTTTCTTGGGTTGTTCTGGATGTTTGAGACTGCATTTTGGTCTTTTGGTTTTGTCATTTTCCTATATTTTTGCCCTTCAAATTTTGTTCCAAGTGAGGTAGAGAGGTCAGTCAGGCTGAGACAGAGGTCCCTGCTTCCTCCTTACTCACTGATTTCCACAGGAAGCCGAATCCTGGGCTCCAGGCAAAGAAAACAGTTTGCAGGGCTTGGCTGGGGTTTCCTGTCTCCACTGGTCTTGTATGACAAACAGGGAGCCGGAGGAGTCCGGCCTGCAGGCAAAGAGGAGAGTTCCACGCCTCCGCTGGACTTATGCAACCCACAGGCAGCTGGATCCTGGGCCCCAGGCGAAGAAAACAATTCTCCGGCCTTGGGCGGGGTTCCCTGCCTCCATTGGTCTTACTGGAGCAACAGGGATTTGGCCCTTAGCTTTAACTGGATTTGCCAGTACAAATTTAGAACTCTTGCTGTTCTTCTTTTGTATCATTTAGAGTCATTCACTATTTCACAGAACTTAGTTTGGGCTCTTCTTCTGTTGCTCAGGAGAGTGCCAAGCAGGCTACCTTTGTTCTTCAGCATTTTAAAGGAAAAGAACCAATTTAATTTCATGCTGAAACAATCTCCTTTCCTGTCACATACTACCATGTGATTTTCATGACTGTACAACTTGAACACATCTCATAAAACCAGTGTCTTAGCTGAGTGTGAAAACACATATCTGAGTGTGAAAACCAGAGCCAAATCTTTGGGAAGAAATGGAGGTGGCTTAGTTGAGGTAGGGTCCCCAATAGGCTGTCTACTTTCCCACCAAGATGGCTTCACTGTCGCTGGTGACAACCACTATAGGGACCCAGGGTTTAAGGCTGCACTATTGTTTTCCAGACATATCTCAGATTCAGGCATACACTGTGTACCCACTGTATACCCCATTCCCTCCTTCCTCATCATAGCAATATGATGTTCTTATTTATCTCCTACTTTGCAGTAATTTTTAATTTCTTGTGAATCAACATTATTGTTTTTAATGGTCCCTTCAAAAGCATGTCAAGCACAGAGTACCAAGAAAGTGGTAACTAATAAGCATTAATCAATAACATGAATGGTAGGAGTTCCATTTTATTTTATGACTAATATTCTGTCATTTATGTTGCTTCCACACCTTGGTTGTTGTGAATAATGCTTACTGAACATGAAAGTGCAGATGTCTCTTCAAGATTCTGATTCCGTTTCTTTCAGAGGTACTCCCAGAGACGAGATCATATGTTGGTTCTATTGCTAAATTTTTGAGAAACCTCTATAATTGTTTCTTATAATGGTTGTACCAGTTTACATTTCCACCAACAGTACTACATGGTTTCCTTATTCTCCACACCTTCAACAACAGCTGGTATTTCTCATCTTTTTGAAAATAATCATCCTAGTAGATATAAGGTGATATTTATTATGGTTTTGGTTTGTATCTTCATGCTGATTAGCATGATTAGTGGCACTGAGTACCTTTTTACATATCTACTGATGTTTGCTTCCTTTGGAAATAGTGGTATTCTGACCCATTTTTAAGTTGTGTTGTTTGTTTTGTGTTTACTTTTGTTTTTGCTCTTGAGTTCTGTTCATATATTTCTTAGATATTAAATACCTATTGGATATTTGATTTGTAAATATTTTCTTGCATCCTGTAGATTTCCTTTTCTTTTTCATTTTGTTGAATATTTCCTTTGTTTTGCAGAAAGCTTTTGTCCCACTTGTTTTAGTTTGGTTGTGATTTTTGTGTGATATCTGAAAGTTCACTGCGAAGACCAGGTCAAGGTACCTTACCCGTTTCCTTTCTTTTAGATTATATAGTTTCAGATCTCACACATGAGTCTTTAATAAACTTTGATTTTATTTTTATAGATAGTGAGGGGCACATGTTTAATGATCTTTTGCTAGTGTATATCCATTTTTCCCAAAACTATTTGTTGAATATACTTTCCTTTCCCTATTGTGTATATTTGGTGCTTTTATCTAACATTAATTAATGTATAGGGAAAGTTTTGTTGTCTGTCTCCCAGAAAATGGTATCAGTACAGGGAAGGAAGAGAAACCTAGTGCTGCTCATCTGTGCAGGTGTGGTTGTCCACTGATCTACACTACTGAGCCTAAGTGCAAGCTGCCCTTTGTCAATTCTCTTCAGAGTAAGGCTGCACCAGGGATCTCAGGAAAGACTACAAAACTGCAACGCAAATAACTATCTGGAAGACAAATTTCATACAAAGACTTAATTGAGTTTGACACAATCAATCACCTAGGGAGATGATAAGACACAGTAGAGGTAGAGAGAAGCAATGTCCCTGTTATGGATTAAAAACTGGTGGTCAACTTACCACCAGCTGAGTTAAATCAGCATGGTGCTGAGTGTAGATGGCCCACTGAGGAAAGTGCCAGCATAAGAACAGATGTGGAAAGGAAGAGGAGGTGTTGTAGTTCTCCTAAGTGTTTTTGTTTGAAGCTTTCCCTGATATGAACTCTGTCATTATCATTGGAGGAGCTTGGGGCCTTGTTGCTGAGAAAAATCGCGGCTCAACTTGAGTGAGGTTTGGTCCTTACATTCATCATTGCTACCTGGCTTTGAAGCAGAAGATATGTGCTGTTCATGTTCCTTGAAAAGCTTGTCATGCTGTCTTCCTGACATGTACTTGGCTGTTATCATTGAAGGAGCTCAGGACCTCATTGTCACAGAGGATGTCTGTGATAATTTTCAAAGGAGACCTGGTCCTTATTTTGAGCCTTCTCAGCACAGATCTATAAAACAGACTTGCATGAAACGTTATCATGGGCTCTAGACCTCCAGTTGGACTCATCAGAGGCTTTGTCATGGACTCCTCATCTCAAGCTGTATTGATGCAAGACATTGCTGTGGGATCCAGGCCCTCAGATGGATTTTCTAGGTCTTCAGTATGGTGCACAGATTTCCTGCACTTTCTTGTAGGTCATTCTGGGTGACCACAATAAAATGATATTACAAATTTGTGTCCCGTATGTAGTTGTTCTCCTTGCAGCACCTGACTACAACAGTCTCTGTAAGCTTCTATCTTGTTCCTACCAGGTTTGCACTGAACATCATCTGGCTGAGTCTTGGAGTTTGATGATACAGAGTGTCACAAAGAATAAATTCTGTGAACACAAAAGGGAAATTCTTTATTTAGTCTTAACAAAGGATATTTTCTGACATGAACACCTGGGAAGAAGTTGGTCAAGTGTGGAGAAGACCAGACCAATGTTGGCAGTGCTGGAGCCCAGCTCTCTCAGCTCCAGCTGCTTTGCATGCTCCTCCCAGCCTGCCCTGCTGTCCAGCGCCCATATCAATGCCCTGTTCTTCTGGGTGATCTGCTTCAGCAGGGACTCAGAGTGAACCATGGAAGCCTTGGCTCTGCTCCTCTGCTTTCTGGTACTAAAGCTCCCAGGTGAGGGGACTATGGGATGATGGTTCAGCACATCTGTGGAAACTCTTTTAATGCTGGGTCCTGTGTCCTGGCACCTCTGATCAGCAAGCACAGTAATTAAAGTTCAGTGTTTATCAATGCGCTGAGAAGACACTATTGAGAGTACAATGGGTTTTACCTGAATTACATAGGAAACATTTCTTTTCTATGTTTTAATTTCAGATACCATTGGACAAACCCAGCTGACTCAGACTCCAGAATCCCTGGCTGTGTCTCTTGGAGAAACAGTCACTCTCAGCTGCAGGGCCAGTCAGGGTGTGAGCAACTACCTAGAATGGTACCAGCAGAAACCTGGGCAGGCTTCCAGACTCCTCATCTATATTGTCTCTAGCAGGGTCACTGGTGTCCCAGCCCGGTTCAGTGGCAGCGGATCAGGGACAGACTTCACTCTCACCATCAGCAGCCTGCAGCCCGAGGACATTGCAGTTTATCACTGTTTCCAGTATTACAGCAGGAGTCCCACAGTGATTCAACCTGTGACAAAAATCTCCCTGATTGTTTGTCATGATTTTTCTCATTGCAGCTGCTTCCTGGACAGCTGCAAAGGACAGCTGCTGGTTCCTCTCAGTTTAAATGCTCTGCCTACATCTGGCAACCTTGTGACTCTGAAAAGTAACTTGCGACTCTGAAAAGTAACTTGCTGATAAGATTTTGACTGATTCCTGGATTTGTCCTCAGACTCAGGCGCACAGCCACGTGTAGGAATAGCTTTCCCGCTAATGCAGTCAGATCAGACTCACATTAGTGGTTACCTAGTAAGATGTACATTTTATGTCCATGAAAATAAGACAATACAATAGCCAAGAGCAAAACTGCATCATATGCATGTGAGATTAACTCATAATGCATTCTAAACAGAAAGCGTTCTTCCAATTTTCTTTTCTAGTATTAACTTGATTCATTGCAGTGCTAATTCTTTTGCTATTACCATAAATATTAGCTTTTTCAAAAATGATAGATCTATAGTTTTGTTTTTCACATCATTTTTCAGTGTTTTGGCTGAGATCGAGTGCAGTGTTATTTATTTATTTTTTTTTTATACCAGCACAGCTGCTGGGTCTGTACTTATACTTCCCACTTATTACATGGGTTAGTTCCATTTTCATGTGTAGCCTGGTATTTCATATCATGTCACTGGCTCTATAAAACTCTTGGCACAAATTTTCTTTTGAAACCTGCATGAGATTTTCTATTATAGCCACTTTTCTTTTTTTCCTTTTTAACTCTTTCTGTTTCCTTGTACCTTTATTTTTTCAATGGTGTTGAACTCTAATACCTGACTGAAACAATTGTAATAATAATCAGTAATGGTGCCTCTTTCTTATTTTCTTGTTATTAGCTCACTCATTCATCTTAATTTTAGTAAGATAATCAGAACATGAGACTCCAGCCCACAGAATGTAAGTTAGGGCAATAATGTTTATCTGACTCAGTGAGCTTCACAGCTCCATTTGCTTATCTTCCACTATATAGTTGAGCTCAATTAAGAACAGTATATTCCTGAGCTGGGTGTGGGGGCGCACTACTGTAACCCCAGCATTTGGGAGGCTGACAGGTAGGCAGATCCTTGCAGATTCGAGACCAGCCTGGCCTCCAATGTGAGCCAAGGACAGCCTGAATCACGTAGTGGGACTCTGTCTCAGAAACACACATACACACAAAAAATTATATTCTTCATAATTTTTCTTTTTCTCGATTACTTCTTATGTATGTATTAAATGCATAGTATTTAAAATTTGTGCATTAAACCATTTTGAAATCACTTAATGAAATGAAATCATTTAATAAAAGAAATCATTTAAATATATATATATATATATATATATATATATATATATATATATGATGTGATATAAAATATGGTAAATATTTAAATTGGAAAAAAATACAATAAAGGACACATTGTCATCAGTTTCCCTTACAGTATTTACCCTTGCTCTGAACATACTCATCCTACTGTTCTTTCTTCTTTCTGAAGCAGTTCTGGAAGTCCTCTTTCATGACTATGTTAACTTGCACTGTCATGGCTTCTTTGATGTCCACTTCACAATGTTTACCTTTCAGGGTCATTTTGACTTTGGGAAGAGCTGGAAATCACAGTGTGATCTGGGTATGGTGATGCATGCCTGTAATCACTGCACTCAGAAGGCTGAAACACAAGGTTCACCATGAGTTTGAGGCCATGCTACATTATGTAGCTAGCTCTAGTCTCAAAAAAAAGTGTAAGTGAAGATAAATCACAATATATGCAAGAGGCTGCCTTCTGTTAAATGGTTCTTGGTAGCAGGCTTCACTAATTCTTGGTCACACCTTGTAAAGACAAAGTAATGGAGAATATTTTGAGGACAATCTATGGCAATGCATTTTTTTTATTGGGATAATGTTTTAAAAATATAAACATTCGGCCCATTTGTTAACTACTCCTTTTATATACTTGAAACATCTTTTCAATTTCAAGATAAATCCAATACGACTCTGTGTTTTTGAACTTTCCATTGCTGTGAAAAAATATTTGTGATAAAGTGTTTAAGAGAAGAGAGGTTTATTTTGGCTCATGGTTTCAGAAATTTCTGTCCATGGTCTGCTGACTGCAATACCTTTAAGGAGATGATGATATAGAAACACCGTGGTGTAAGGAAGGATTGAAAAAAGGAATCTACTTATTTCATGATTGCCAGGAAGCAGGGAGAGAGACAGAAGGAGAGAGAGAGAGAGAGAGAGAGAGAGAGAGAGAGAGAGAGAGAGAGAGAGAGGCAGAGAGAGATAGAGAGACAGAGAGACAGAGAGAGACAGACAGACAGACAGAGAAAAGATCCAAGAATGAGCTATAGTTCATACTGTCACGCTACGTAAGCCCAAGTATAGGAAGCGCCCGACGCACAACACAGAAGAAGCCGTCGAGGACGGACATGTATTGAGGTTGCTGCCCAGTCAATAAAGGTGTTGCAGAGGCTAAGTGTTCGTGTGCTCCATTCCGCGGGACAGAAGCGGCTTCCTTCCTTCCTTCCTTCCTTCCTTCCTTCCTTCCTTCCTTCCTTCCTTCCTCCTTCTTCATAAAAGCTCTATAAAAATATATCCTCTTTGCTTTTAGACTATAGTTGTAGTGACTTTCACATGCACATGGTCATGTTCTGCTGATGCATGGTTTCAGCCTCCAGAAGCGAGACTGTGCTGACTCAGTCTTCAGCAGTGCTGTCTATGATGCAATGGAAGACAGCCACTATCACCCGCTGGCCAGTCAGAACACTGCCTCCAATTCACATTGGTACCAGCAAACACCAAATCAGGTGCAAATTGGTCACGGACTTCACAAACACCATGATCAGCCCAGCAGAAATGAAATTTCAGATCCGTTGTTTCACGTATTAGTTGCAAATTCATTTACAGGAATTTTTCTAAATAAAAAAAAAACTGTTGAGGATAGATCCCTTTGTAGCCATCTAATGATTTCCTACTTTGTCCTTTACAAGTTGGTCAAATTTTGGTCTTCCTTGGGGGCCTCCAATCAGTCAGTAAGATTCAATAGTCTTAAAGGTAGAATACTGTGAAATTACCAAGCAATTGCCAGGAGTTGAGGGGAAAGAAAAGACCCCTGGACAAGTACCCCTCAACCTTGGAACATTTCCAAGCTTGGCAAGCAGCAAGGGTATTCTAGGTTCCCCACTCTTTCCCAAAACTAACCTTTTGTCATTTCTTGTAGTCACATACCTGGACCTTAAGTACCCTGTGATCATTATCTTTTATGAATTCCAGGAGAATTATTAGCTGTTTGTCTTTAATAGTTGCATGATTTATTTATTAAGAAGATGAATCATGTAAATTTCTATAGACACTTGTCTGGTAGTGGGCAGAATAAGATCAAGTTCCTGTATTCAGGATTGGAGGGGTGATTAAGTGAAGAAATTAGGGCCCCAATCCAAAAGGTTGCTGCTACAAAGCTTTCATTAAATGGCAAAGAAACCCTACAATACACAAAGCCAGAGTCCTTATCCTAGAGACTAAATGAATGAATGTTTGAATGTTGAAGTGAAAATTTCCCGTTAAAGGAGGGAGCTCTGTGTCCAGCTCTCTAAGCTTACATGGCTGGATCCTCAAGGGGCAATGGGTCATGTCTCCCCCATCTGCCAGTTCCTCAGGATTTCCTGCTTTACTTTGTGATGTGTAGTGCACCTGGCTATGATGTCCCTTCCAGGAGTATTCTTAGAGTATGAACTTGGTGAGCAATGAGACAGGAGGGGTGAGAGAAGCAGGTACACAGCTCTGAATGTGAGTGGCCATAAGTCAAACCGGAATGAAGAATCATTGTGCATTCAGAGACGGAGGGAACAGAACTTTTAAATCCCAGCTCTATTCAAAGGTGCAAAGGGTGTTATGATCCAACAATAGAACATGGTTCACTCTAGTCATGGGATAACAGCTGGATTCTGCTCTGTGGTTCAAAGGAGAAACACATTCTCAGGGAAATTGGTGCCATCTTGGCCTGGAAGTAACCCCAGAAAACCATGGACCACTGATGAGAAGACACCTTGCAGCTGTGTGCAACCCTGTTCAGCCCATGCTGATTTGCATGCACACAGAGCACAGCACATGCCCAAAAGTATTTCTTCCCAAGGTTCTCATACCCTGTGCAAGAGTCAGTCCTGGTCCAGACACAGCATGGAAATGAGGATCTCCACTCAGCTCCTGGGCCTCCTGCTGCTCTGGCTCCAAGGTGAGAAAAATTTTATTTTGTAATTTAGTCTAGTTAGAGTTCCCTGGTCACAGTTGCCTGATTCTACAGGGAGGTCTTGTTTTACCATGGTTGTGTTGATACTTGTTTCTGATTTCAGGTGTCAGATGTGACATCCAGATGACTCAGACTCCATCTTCCTTGCCTGCATCTGTGGGAGACACAGTCACCATCAAGTGTAAGGCCAGTCAAGGTATAAGCAATGGTTTAAACTGGTTCCAACAGAAACCCGGGAAAGCTCCTCAACTGCTGATCTATGATGCAACCAGTTTGGGATCTGGGGTTCCTTCAAGGTTCAGTGGCAGTGGATTTGGGACAGATTTCACTCTTGCCATTAGTAGCCTACAGCCTGAAGATGTTGGTACCTACTACTGTCAACAAGGTTATGGTACCCCTCCCACAGTGATACAAGCCATGACAAAAACAGCCAGGGAAGCAGAAGTGTGAGGTTGGGCTGCCCCAGCTCAGCTCCACTGCAGCTGTACTCAACTGCTGAGAGCATTTCTCTGAACAAGCCAGGCTTGAATGCTCCTTTGAAGCTTTAGAAGAAGGACCAAGCCTGTTCTCTACACCCTTACTCTCTTTCCTTTTTTTAAGCTACTAAAGCACAGATAGTCCAGCTCCTGTCCTAATTAAGTGAAGGCCACAGATGAGCACCTCTGAGCAGTGTGGGTTATGGCATAATTTTGGATTCAGACAGCAACCTAGAAGCCCTTCTGTGTTCTAAGCAAGGGTTTTTAAAGACTTCCTTCAATTTTTAGTGTAGATTTCATCATTAAAAAGTTTAAAATACAGAGGTGGCCCCGATTACCCAGTACACATGGATCTGCAGTCTATCATCAACAACCAAGGACAATTTTGTTACAAAGCATTAAGATCCATAAGTTTGCCAAGTCTGTA